AATAACACAAACGCTAGTAGATTTGCCTTCCAGTCTCTAACATTCTCTGCCAGCAGTCCTCATTAGAATAACTTTTTTGGGGCAATAGAGCATACTGAGACACACGGTATTTCTTGGTAAGTATGTGGCAGTCARCTTTTTCTGAGACCTGGAACTGTCTGTAGGAGGTGTGCTTTATTAAAACAAACTGTAAATGAAATAAAGTAGASTGACATTATGTATTCACCTCTTGTYTATGTGGCCCAAGGTGTTTTGMAGATGCTGTGCAGGTATGTTTCTCTACACAACACTGAAGTTTTACAGGCTTACTCTGTCTCRTAGGAAGAAGATTTACAGGAGATGGAGGAGTCAGCTAAGAAAATGGAAGCTCAGTTTGGTCAGTTCTTTGATCAAGTGATTGTGAATGACAATTTACAAGAAGCGTCTGCGCAGCTGCTGTCTGCAGTCCATCGTGCACAGGACGAGCCCCAGTGGGTCCCTGCAATATGGATCTGCTCAGACACGCAGCCCTAATTCTGAGCAGCCGGCAGCTYCACAAAGATTACAGCTTATGTTTTACTTCAAGAATAATCCTSATGTCAGGATTGCAAGAATTTATCTTTGTATGTGAGGGATTTGGAAGAGGATTAGGAAAGAAGCTACAAGAGATATAATCATACGATATTCTGTGTAGTTCTTGAGCTTTTTATGTTACAGCTGCATTCACTTTTGTACAAAAAAAAAAAGGAAATACTGTGAGCACTCACCTACAAGAATAAAGAAAAATCTATTTTGTTGCATGTTRTGTGCATTATTTACTTACATAGAGGTTCAGAAAAGTGCTTTCCCTTGTTTTTATTATGGTCATTCTGGTCTCTCTGTAGAGGTGATACCTCCACATTCGGAAGATTTACAAATGATATTCAGTCAGAATGTGGGTTTTTAGCATGCTGTCTGTGAGCAGAGTGTTATTTATGARGGTACTGGTTTGCTGCTAATACTTTTTATGTTTTATGATAGGAGTGGTCCAAAACCAAGTTACTTTCATGATATATATAACACGTCTTTTCTTTTGTTTCAACAAGTGAGTACAAAGTGACAGAACATGGACTTACYAAGAAGGAAAATCATCAAAAACCKTTCTCATRTTGKTTTGGTCTGTGGTAGCAGAGTCTASTCATCAAAGARTGCARTGTTTGTAGCAAGTAGGTTCCTTACTCCCTTTGCCTCAAATTGGCAGCTGTGAGGGACACACATGGTTCTTCCTCACCCTGGAGGAAAATCAATAAAAGCAAGTTAAGCAATCTAGAAAGAGATTATTTAAAGTCACTTACAGCCACAGGGATGCCTGCTCCTTCTAAAGCCAGGGCTCATATTCCTTGTTTAGAGATAAAACAGCCACAGGGATGCCTGCTCCTTCTGAAGCCAGGGCTCATATTCCTTGTTTAGAGGAGACACTGACACCTCAGCATCTAACTGGTCCAGGGTGAGTGGTGGTGGAGGGTGAGGTAACAGCAGCTCTGTGCTGCTTGGTCCATGACCAGCTTCCCCACTTCTGCCTAGCCCCGCATTTTTAGACTCTTTGCCTTTTGTTCATGTGTTATTTTATAATTTTTAGCGGGGTTTTTTTTTGGGTTTTTTTTTTGGGTTTTTTTTTCCGATTACTGTGTAGAACTTGATTTGGCAGTTTGTGACGCTGCCTACAAGCTGAAGCACTCCAGAACCCGCGTCCCCTTGATTTCACTTGTCTGCGGCCTGAGGGATGAGGGTTCCCGCCCAGGGCGGCGGGGCCGGGACGCCTCTGAGGAGTGAACCGTGGCCGAGAAAGCACAGCCGGGAGGGAGTGGGAGGCCGGGCTGTGATAAGTTAAGGTTGGTTCGTAAAATCACAATAAAAAGATCACATATTTTGTTAGAGCAATTTGCCAGACCAGCGCTACTTGTAACATCTTCGGGTATCTCAAGGGGGAGGGGAACTGCAAGTGCACCAGGAAGACTTCTGCCTTCCAGCAACTCCGCCCACCAACAGCCGCCAGAGCCCCACAAGAAAACCAGTAACACAACGCAGACGAATCAGGACCCCTGGAAACTTCTGGAAACACCACGTCACCGAGAGACAGAGGGGGGTATAAAAAGGGG